GGAATTTCAAGATGTTATCTGGGCTGATGATTGTAAATAGCATTTCAAACTTACAAGCAAATTATGAATGTACTGGGTCTATAATACAAATGTTCAAAGATTTTTACCTATTACCGGTATTATTAATCACATACATTTGACCAGAAGGGGGATAATGCCTTTAAAACCTACAGTTTAAGGAATTTCAAGATGTTATCTTGCCTGATGATAGTAAATAGTATTTCAAACCTACAAGTAAATTATTAATGTACTAGGTCAATAGTTCAAATTTTCAGAGACATTTAACTATTATTATCAATCACGTGCCTTTGAGCAGAAGTAGGATACTGTCTTTAAACCTACAGTTTATTCAATTTCAAAATGGTATCTTGGCTGATGATATTGAATAACATTTCAAACCTGTGAGCAAATTATGAATGAACTGGGTCAATAGTTCTTATTTTCAGAGACTTTTAACTGTTATCATGAATGACATGCCCTTTGCCCGAAGTGGGATAAAGCCTTTAAAACTTACAGTTTATGGAATTTCAAGATTTCATCTGAGCTTATAGTGGTAAATAACAATTCCAACTTGTCAGCAAATTCTGAATGAAATAATAGTATAGCATTAATAATGCAATAGTAATAATGATACTCACCTTAACCAAGAGTGGGAATATGCCTAAAAAAATCTACAGTTGGATGTATTGTATGAGAAGGGTTGATTGTTAGCACACTATTAATGTATTAGTGATTTGCATGTAGTAACATTTAGTATTTTGAGGGAAACAGTGATTGTGCAACGTTTGATTTGTGTCTAAACTATGTGCTGTGTGTGATGCCCTTGAAGGGTGATAGTTATTTGACTCAAGCTGAATGGGTGTGAGTGTGTCAACTGTTAGGTTCATGTTATATCTATCTGGTAAAGTTATTATGGCGTTCTTATTCCTTGTTGTGACAATATCTGCTTGAGTAAAGTTGACTAAAACATTACAGTTATCGAATCTAAAGATTCCTCTTGGCTGTTGATAGTATTTAGTCATATGAGTCTACATGCAACAGGTCAATATTGCCAATGTTTAGAGATTTTTAAACTATTTTTTACTATTCATATGCCCTTAATTAGATAAAGGAAAACAACTTTAAAATCTGATGATAGTAGATCATATTTCAGACATGTAGAAAGCAGATTATGAAAGCAAATAGGCCATTAATTAGTACAACTTTAAGAGAGTTAACTTGATTTAATCCTGTATGCCTTTGACCAGGAGAGGGATAATGTCTCCTAAGTCTAATACTAACAGAATAATCTGACATTTAAAAATTGTGGGCTGAATCTTGAACAGGACAATATCTCTTATTTTCAGAGAATCTGTACAATATTAGTATAATACATACAGATTCAACCAGAAGAGGGATAACACCATAAAATTACAATCAATGGAATCTTCTGATTTCATTTTGGCTGCTCATAGCAAATCACACTTCATATTTATGAGCACACTGGGCTGATCTACAGTACTAACTTTAAGAGATTTGTTTAATAGTATTACTTATATTCCCTCAACCAAAAGTGTTTGAAGTGGAACAAGTTTAAAATCTATATTTTAATGGAATTTATTATTTTCTTTTGGGTTCTTATACTTCATACTTATGGGCAAAATCTAAAAGTAGTGGGGCAATATTGCATGTTTTAATTTCCTTGACTACATTTATCACACAATTTCCCTAATCCAAAGCTGGCATAAATTGTTTTTGTTTGTTTGTTGTTTGTTGCTACACAATGTTCTAGCTACATGATATCTGTAAATAACTGAGTTTGTACCAGACAATCCAGTTATTGAGATCATAAGCATCCACACATGCAATCATTGAGACTTGATGCTAGACAATGACTAAGTCATTGAGCCTGACAACCATATCCACATCAGGTAGCATTGGTTTCTGGGGAAAATTACACACAAAACAGTAAATATGAAGTCATCATTTACCTTGACAGTTTCATCTCATTAACAATATGTCATCAAAGAAGCTTCAGCTGCTTGGCCTTCTAACACAATGAGCAGATGACCCTTTCAAGCAAATAGTGAAGGGGGGACAACTCTAACCGCGAATTAGTTCAGCAAATATAATGTTATTGATGACAATGCATGGAATAACAAGTTCAAGCTGCTATGAAGGGCTCAGTGAATTTCCCATTTATATCAAGCTGACCAGGAAGGGGATTTTCAAAGGAACATTAAAGAAATGTTTTTGGATAATTTCTACACCATCATTTTTCTTCAAAGTTATAACTATAGCCTTCTGAGATGGAGCACAAACTCTCCCACTTTTATCATTCTGAAGTAATTATGCCTTGTATGTCTGGTGTCTGTTACAAACAGCTTCCATGAACACAATAATGATGAAAGCTATAAATGATCATTACTGGCAAATCTTATATGATAATAGCAGTAATATTAACACAACATTACTTGGAGGCTAAACATGTTATAAAAAAGGGAGCCACTAACTGCTTAGGGGGCCATGTGAACTTTTGGGATGAGAACTTTAACTGGACCTTTAACTCAGCATTATCAGCATAGTATTATGTGTGATGGTGATGTTACTGAATACACCCTACCATTATAAATAATAGATCACCACTCTTTTTACAGTGTCATGAATGTGTACATGAACCTGTATATTTTTCGAGTATTTCATAAGAAATATTCTCTGAAAAGTATGACCAAGCAACATACCAATCTCTTATATACTCTCACAAATGGCATAACACAAATAACTTAAATCCCCAAAACAAACTTGAATTGTTATACATACATACCCATCAAGAATGGATGTAACATTATTAAAAAAATAATTATGACATAATTTAATTTTCTTTTATTCCCCGTTCTTACTTTAAAAGAAACTATTTACTGTATTATTACATAAAACACTGTGCAAAAATGGCTGGGCTGGCCTATATTTAGATACAACTTACTATATTTTTCCAAATATTAGCATAATTATTAAACTATAAAATCAAAATCCAATACCATTCACATCATATATTTTCTGGTTCTATTTGTGGGCATACACATATATTGTTAAAAGGAATAATTAGCTATATTTTAAAATATCATTAGATATTGCAAGAAAGTCATATTTCAAGTTGAGCAGTAACCATTTCTGGGAATGAATGAACCATTATGAATACAAAATGAATGAAAAACACCTGACACCTAAATTCAGCATCCACAACCAGGAACATCACTTATTTTAAGCCAGTAGAGTAATTAGAGTAAAGCGTATGAAAATGAATTCTATTTCGTTTTAGTTTCACGTTTCTACATTTTTTGCGTTGCTATATTTAGCTATTATGGCGGACATCCACTATGGAGCGCTGCCATTGGCATTTTTAGCAGTCAGTAGTTAAAATAAAGGACACGAGTTGTGCAGCTGATTTTGATCTTAATAATTGTTTGTCGATTAAATACATAGTTGACAGTAACACGTATAATTCTCCATATTAGTTATCCCAGTTCTGGTCGTATCCCAGTTCTGGTCGCAACACACGTGCAGCTCGTGTCGACGTCGCTTCAGTGGAAGCGAGTTCGATTTTCCCGCTCCCAGTATCAGTAGCCGATGTTTGAAGACGACCAACTCTTGTCAATTTCATTCTGTTTTTAACGTGCAAATATCACAACTAACCTAGAAGCTGGTCTACCTCTTGTTATATGAAAAATAAGGAATTGAGAGTGACTTGAGAACTTGTGCTCCTACACGTGTGCTTGGTTACTCCTACTCACTTTGCAGTGTTGTTGGAAATGGCGTAATTCATTGTAGAGATTCTTAAGAATAACCAAGTAAACAGAAATTATCAGTGGACGCAAACTATAACACTATTTACTCTCTTTTTCACGATATAGAGAAGTTATGAACGTTGAATTTATGATAAAAGGGGTCGTTAATAGTTTCAGTTAGATATGGTAGAAACAATATAATACAATCGGCAAAAATCTGAAATTTTCATAATATGTTGATATTTTAAATAAGAGCTGAGTCTTTTGTAGGATTGTAAACAATAACAGGACTGCCGAATAACTTTGAGGAGTAAAAGTGATAAAACGAAATGTCACAGGGGTGAATGTTGATTTTTAAACTTTATTGAAAGTCACTCTCAGCTATTACCGACATTTTTGTCTGATTGTCATTACCAACAACACCGCTCCACCACTCTAGTCTTGCTTTAACGCAGCATATGTCATCAGACTGGACATGCGTCGTCAACATCTTGATAAACATCTTCTCTTTCCTGGCATAAACAGTAATTGAGAATATCCCCCCCAAAATAGAAATGCATTCTTGCTGTATGACACGCGAGCCCAGCTAGTGCAACAACATCGTTTTGGCGGAGGCACGTTTCCTTTTCTTGCTCGATCAAAAGCAGATGCTTGCAGACGTCAACTGTTGACAGTTTTATACTTTTTTTAACATGATAACTAAGTTTGTATTTTGTGAAACAAGGACCAAATGCACTTATGTCTTTTTGTTTACAAACTTTAAGTCCTTCTCAATTATGTCAAAGAGAAGGAATTGAGAGTGGCTAGATCATGTCACGTGGTCACGCACGTGTCCTGAGTTACTCCAACACATTTTGCAGTGTTCTTGAAAATGGTGTAACTGATCTGATTGATTCTCATGAATAATAGTATTAAAAAATTCTTGGGACGTCAATGGACGCAAACAACAACACTATTTACTCTGTTTTATCGATATGTGGTGGTTATGAATATTAAATATGTGATGAAAGGGGTCGTTAATATTTTCAGTTAGAAATGACAGACAAGAAAATTGTATTAACAAAACTCTTAAATATTCTTCAACTGAGTGCATATAATCTGTTAAGGGGTGTACACAGTACCAAGTGACTTTCAGGATTAAAAAAAAATGTGAATGTCACAGGGGGTGTATCTGATTTTTTCACTTTAGATTTTGTGATATTTTCATTACCAACAGTAAAGCTCCACCAGGCTGGACGTGCGTCATCAACATCACGATGAACACCTTCTGGTTACTGGCATACATTTCTCTCGCATAAAATACCTAGATATAGCCAGTATGTCCAGTGTATCTCAGTCTGTGATTTACAAATTTGGAAAAAAGGTTTTTGAAGAGAAAAATGTCAAAGATCAGCCCATCAACGGGTGCCCGTGTTTACGTTGATCACCAGGCATGACCCAGGAACATTAAGCCCTCATGATGCGTTACATTGTTAAAACAATACCACACAATCAGTGAACCCCAGCGTCCGTTACTTCAAGCATGAGATACGTAACTTCGTCTATCCTCCTCAGTCGTAGTATATGACTACATGTCCTATGTGGTGTGCTGACGTTGTATGTTATTTGAGTAAATGTACTCACACTTCAGCACCACAGACCTGTCTACAGTCCCTGGCTTCAGCAGATGGATACCACATTCCCTGGCCACACCTGTAAAACAAACATGCATATAACCATATATGTATAATGTATATGTATGATAAATGTAAGCCACAAAACCCATTCAAAATACACAAAAGCCTCCGACAAGAGCTGTGTCCGTTCCGACTTTATCATGAGCATGCGTTTAAGGAATCATAATCAAAGAGTGATGATACCATCTGTTCGGGAAGGTTTAGTGACTCCATGTTTATCATATATGTTAAGGTGATTACATGATTTGTTTTAGTATGGGAGGAAAGCTAAAGGAGACAAGGATGATATATGTTTACCACTTCGATGATTTTAACCGATAGTAGATACAAGTGAAGTCGTCAAATATATTGTGGATTAAGCGACCTGGGAGGCACAGGAAGAAACGTAATGCAAATTTACCAAGTAAAACATCCAGGTTTTTTGAGAGTCTCTTCTCGATGTTTTCCTTCTCGGCAATGAGCTGTAAACATTGTACATAATTCTATATCAAAACATTGGTTAGCTCAAGGGTATAGGGTTTCCAAGCATGTAATAATTAATTATAACGTTTATTAATTATAAATGTAATTATAACGTTTGCAGTCTTTATTAACAGAAATGTTTGTGAAATTCTTGAACAAAAAGGGGTCACATAGAATTCACTTGCACACTGTCATATTCACAACCGTATCCAGTGGTCGGATCGTAACTAAACGTTTGAAAAGAACGTCAGGAAACTGTCATCAAGTGCACTGCATCTTTTTAAGTGTTTTAGACGATTATTGAGATCACATAAAGGTAGATGCTGACATATTTAAATGTTTGAAAGCACGTGAAGTTCTGAAAAAATAGAATACGATTTCAGAATTTTGATTTCACCACTGAGCCTGTCCGTAAGGTTTTAACATTTTGCTCGTCCGAATCAATTTTCGTCTTCATTTCATTACTTTCCTGAAAAAAATCTCACAACACACAGATTATTTAATAGGCTGATACATTCACAACACCATTAAAGGATTTTTATTGATAATAAATTGAGATGACGTGAAGCGATATTTTCTTTGTGACATATATACTGGAATATAAGGGCAGATGCAAAGATGTCTAAAGGTATGAACGAACGTAAATAATAAATTCAAACCGATTTGAGGCTACTGATGTCTCCATTGAGCTTGTCTGTGAGCAGTCTGTAGCTTTCACTCCGCTTCTCCTCTGAATCCATTTTCGTCTTCAGTTCTGCAATTTCTTGCAAAACACCTAACATATAAGGAATTTAATGGGCTGAATCATTCCTAGAGTCTTGAATGTTGCGGCATAGTTACTTGGGTCTCTCTACGATTTGCCAGTCTGTTTGTCATCAAGAAGGTATGATGTACCACAGACTATACTCACCATTTTATGTTTCCTGTCCAGGTCTGCCATATAGTCATCAAGCGTCTGGGTATCCTTGTCTACAACAACAGGAGAATTATATATGATTAAAAATATTTACGTCATAGGTCTGAAATGCCGGGATAATGTTTTATGAATTTTACAACACAAAAAACAAAGTGAGGTCAGGTGAAATTGGATTTAACGTCGTGCTTGAGAATATTTCGCTCATATGACGACGTGCATACGTGTTTATGTGTATGTGCGGCTGCTTGTACTAGCCCAGACTTAAGCTGGTTTTATAGTGCTAGCCCACTGAGATACCATGCCGCAGTGAAGCATGAATACCCCACTCAGACACATTATACTGACTCCGAGCCGACCAGTCCTTGTTGTACCCATTAATGCCGAGCGCCAGGCAGGAACCAACAAGTACCACAATTTAACGTCTTTTTGGTATGACGCGGTCGGGGATCGAGCCTGCGACTTTCCGCTCCCCGGACAGACGCTCTAACCACTACACCACGGAGGCGGTACGAAAAACAAAGTTATCAACAGACATAATGGATCTTAAATTATAGAAACATGAATACAAAAGAGGTATAAATAATGCCAAATAAAACATAACAAGAATGCCACACATACAAAACATATACAAAGAATAATTAACTTGTAATAATGTCCAATTGGAATACCTTTAAAAGGTTCAGCGTCCCCTACATTTGTCGTAATGGCACCAAATACTGATATATTTGATTTCAGCTCTGACAATCTGTTTGTATTGAGGAAAGCTGACGTTACAGCACGTGACTGAGACCTAACATCTTTCAGGCAGCTCCGAGCTCTGTTTCCTACACGGCTCTCCAGCTCCAGGATGTGTAATTTGGGGGCATAGTGGAGGACTTTGTCGATGTAGTCTGAAACATCTCTGCATGTCTCCCAATCTTCTTCAGTGGTGGTGAGGAGAGTCCGTTGTGTTGCCTTGGTCTCTTTTGTAAGATTTTCTAGATCGGTCATAAGTTCACTCTCTCGTTGATCAAGAAGCGATCGCAGAGTCTGGAATGTGTGGCCAATATTTTCTTTCAAAGTGTCGTGTGTTCTGTCAGTGTATTTAATTTCTTGTCTGATGCTCTGCATGTGAGTTTTCTGACGAGTCTGCAACTTTAATAGCTCATTCTTCTGGTGGTGGAAATGTTCCGTTACAGCATCAGCAGCCACATCCAAGTCCTCCACATCATGGTCTGCGTGATCATGGAGTCTACATCTCGCACAGATCAACTTCTGGCAGGTTGCATCAATGAAGTCCAAGGAGTTGTGTTTATGGATGCTGCAAAATGTTGGAATGTTCAAGACAGTCGGTACCATGTCACTGAAGTTTTGAAGTACATGGTTTCTGGAAAGTTTGATGTTGCTGTGCTCATTCTGGCAGTACTCACACAGGAACTCTTCACAGTCCCGACACCAACACACAGCCTGGTTGCCGTCCTTTTTATGTGTACAGTAGAGCTCTGTGGGGCGATGTTTTACTGTCAGATGGAATATTTCCTTCTGTCTCACTGCATCCTTCTGGAGGCTTGTGTCCGTGAGGTTGACCTCCCTCTTGACATGTAGAGCATGATATCACACCACCAGCTACAGATGTGACACACGTCTCACACACGGCGTGTAGACAGGGCAGTAGGTAGGGGGCGGGACCCTTCAGGGTAAACTGATGCTGACAGACAGAACATTTGGGGAAGTCGTCCATTCTGGAAGACAGAAACCTAAAATGAGCTACTTAAAGATGAATGCACGTGTATGTACGTGTAACATGCACTAAATAAACAAACAATGCCTGGCTGTTTCCATCAGTCTAGTCAAAGTCAAAAGTCTGGACAAAAAGCCATTCGAAAATGTCCTCACGGAAAATAAAATTAGATTAAAGAAAGCAAATGATTTATGACATGAACTTCTGATTTGCTTCGTGATATCATGTTCCAAAATAACACATAAATTAATATTTAATTAGCAAATGATTTAGTGAATAAGAAATATATTTCATTAAACAAATGATAACAAATCAACAAGAAATGAGTAATGACATGAAAACTTGTATTGCAACATAATTAATAATGAAACAAATCAACACAACCTAATGTTGTGGCCTAAGGCGGAAAGAAAGTCCATTTCTGTTGACGTAATCCATTTCCTTTACATTGATACAACCCCCTTACCAAGAGTCTTTAACATACATGAAGCTTCACTCTAGACGGACGAGAAGTGAGTTAGTGAGTTAGTGCACACACGCACATTCGCCTAGTTCAGGGACACAAAGATCCCTGTGGTCACCCAGCAGTAAACAGGCAGCCGAAATGTTGAGATGACAAGGCCACCCTGGATACGTGCCTGGACAAGTGTAATCTTTACAGTATGGGCCGAGAAAAAAACGCGATACCAATAGATAAATGTTTGTATCGACATGATATTTACAGTTGAGAGAAATTTGGCCAGTCCACACATAACTCAGACAGGGAATGGGGCTTTTGTCAATAAGCGCTGCCTGATTGAACCTTTCTGAGAATGGGAAGTCTCCCAAGCACTACAGGCTTCTGCATTTCCCAGAGTGCCAGAAGGTCTGTTACCGACAGCAAGTATGCCAAACCTAAGACGCCAAGAACAACAGGGATTCGGACAACTTGGTACTTTGAATGTAATTGTGAAATTTCGTAAGCATATATGCCATGTTTCTCCTGAATCATTTCAATCACACCAGGACCGAAAATTCAATAATATAAATGGTTTCATTGGTTTTGTCGAAAGAACAAGGGAGTGATTGTTGATTTTGATACACGTGAAGCTGTATACAAAGCCCTCAACACAGTCTTGGTTAGCCAATGCATGTTTTTTTTAGTCCAAACCTCAAGTATTGTAAAAGGGCGTTTTTTATGGATCTTGCCAAGCCACTATTTTCCTGAAGACATAAAGTGTCAGTGCTGGGTATCCATTGACATGGTGTTGGACAGTCTTATTAAACTCATGGCATAATCTAGTCTATACTGAGTCCAAAAAAAACCCAAAACTTCACAATTTGGATCTGTAAATAATAATATGAATTTTTATAGTAGACACATTACGGGTCATTTCTGGTGTCCCCCGCCGTGATTTTGGTGGAATATTGTTAAAAGCGGTGTAAAACCAAACTCACTCACTCACTCATTGCACGTGCAATCGATCGGAAATGTTCCCATCAACTTTACAAAGTGAAAAAATACTTTAAAGCACTAACAAGAACAGCCAATTATTATGCCGAACCTCTCAAATGTGCAGCATAAACGTGCCGTTGGCATGCTGGAAGCGGGAACGTCAGTAAGTGACGTTGCAAGGACAATTGGGTGCAGCCGCCGGGCTGTTTACGATTTACAGACTCGAATGCAACAAACGAGTGACGTCACAGGCGGGGGACCGTCAAATTGTGTTACATCACCTCCGTAATCGATTTTTCATGGCTACAGGAACCAGAAATGATCTGTTTAGGGGTCGATTGTTGACACAAACAATCCGAAACTGGCTGCAAGCAGCTCACCTTCAATGACCATATTGTGGAACCATTTTGACGCCATTACGTCAGCGTTTGCTGTGGGCCCGACGACACCTCCGACTCAGAGAGACTGGAATCGAGTTGTCTTCAGTGATGAATAAAGCTTTACCCTCAGATTTGCTGATGGTAGGATGACAGTGTGGAGGCGACGCCGTGAACATTACGCCAAGTGTTGTGTACAGGAAGTTGACAGATTTGGGGGCAGAAGTGACATGGTCTGGGGTACTTTCTATGGGATTGCCCGTCCCTGAGTTCTGGTTATAAGTGGGAACCTTAAAGCTACAGTTAACCGCGACCAGGTCCTAGCCCCCGAATGTATTCCATTCATGGCGGCACATGGTCCAGGTCTGCATTTTCAACGTGACATTGCAAGACCCCAAACAGCCAGCTTGACCAGGATGTACGTGCAGGAATCAACGTTCTTGACTGGCCGTCAAGGCCACTTGATCTCAGTCCACTCAATTTCATCTGGGATGCTCTTGGTAGAGGTCTGCACGCTCTCAGGAACCAATCCCCAATAAGGTGTTTACATGCATCAGGCAGTCCATGAGGAGGCGTTGCTTGGCAGTTGTGAACGCAAGGGGTGGCCATACACGCTACTTGATTTCTTTTGACTTGACACTTTGTTTACGCCTTTTATTATAAATTTTGTAACCACGTGGAACTGATCTTTGGCACTGTGATTATTCCCAGTTCATCCTATGGACCGTAACAAATAAAAGATAACCCCTATACCACATTCCTGGTCCTTTTTATATATTTAATATATGATTGTGAAGTTTTTAGTTTGACTGTATATTTGAGTAATGTTTTGCCTTACTTGTTTGACGTTCTGGCAGAAAGGTTCAATTGATGGAGTTCTGTAAATAAACGAAATTGGGTCTTAACAATTAACTGTAGCCATTAGTAAGCTATATTGGTATTGTGTATGAAGGCTTTATGTGGTAGGGCTGGGACGGGGACTCGGGTACTCGAATCCGAGTCGGGTATAGCTTGAATCGAGTACTATTTCTAGGAATCGAGTTCCTGAAAAAGGAGAAGCACACATAATAACTTGTCTTTTTCATCATTGACGTAACACACATTTGCATCATTGGTATTGACCGATAAATGGAGGTCATTATTAACGACTGTATATATCTCAGCATGAGCAGTGAGGAGTCAAGTAACAGTAACAGCGGTAACGAAAGGTCCTGTGTTTTAACGAGGAATGCATGTAATGGTGTTACTCTCTATATTTGTTAAATAGACGTAAATTAAATAGCCTATGTTCAGTTTCAGTGTGTTGTTGTCATCCTTTCAAGGTTTTTATACAAATCTCCGTCAACTCAGAATTGAATATTCAGAAAGTTGACAGAAGCGCTTTATTCCTTACATTTCCGGGTACTCGATTCCGATTCGGGTACGTACATGCGGGTACTCGATTCCATTTTTTCTTACCCGTCCCAGCCCTATTTTGTCGTATGTTTTTCTGCATATGCATATCAATCGAGAAAAATAGCTTCTATCACAAATGCAAATAGTTTGCCAATATTCTGTCAGGTTTCCAGCAATTAAAATATGTTGTGGTGTATTTGAAGTTGTTAGGAAACCGAAGGGTCAAGATATGTACACAAACAAACATAATTATGATGTGATTATAATGGCTTCATTGGAGATAAATATCACAGGTATTGCAATATTTCTTTCCATGTGTACATATAGTTAAAAACATCAGAAGCTGGAGGGTTCCTAACCATAGATTTCCTCCTTCAAACAACGGTTTACACATTTCAAACTATTCCTACTTACCCGATGTTTCGTCTCTTTTTTCATGGCGAGGCTTCTGAATTAATTCTTCGATTTCCTTCTCCAGTTTCTGCTTTCTCTGAGCATGCAGATACATCAGTTTTGATAGTTTCTCTTCATGATGCTGGTTGACTTCACTGATCACTTGTTGATGGTCCTCATCCAGAGCACGTAACTGTTGTCGTAATTCATCAAGCGGGGTCCCCGACTGTTGAAATGATGATAACAGAGACCACATAGTTGGAAAGACGAACAACAGTATTTCACTATGTTGAATAAAGCTAAATCTGATTGTAAATAAACAACATTTTTGTGGTAATAAAGTCTATTTGAATGTAACATTTATCACACATTGAATATTATGTGTGTTTAACTACTTAGCAGAAACCAAAGGTATTGGAGTCTTATCAAATTCTGTGACAATTCCAGTGATAATTAGGCACGGTAATCGGGTAATGATAGAATATGAATATCTCTTGAGATTTCATTCAAGAATACAAATGGGCATGTCGTGATAAATGCAATCTGTTCATACGTATCTGACGGTATACAGTGCTGTTGCTTCCCTCTCCCTCAAACTGACAACAGAGAGACAGTAGAAACAGATTGGAATACCCTTGCTGTATCTACTTTGGCCGATTAACCTCTTCACTGTAAGACGACATGCGCAGCGCAGCTTATAAAAGAAAGCTGAAGGTGAGGCTAAAGGTGGAGCGTCAGGTAAGCATAAAAACATTCCTCTCGTGTTTTACATTACCCGAGGCTACACATTCTCATGAGAACTGAGGGTATGGCGCAAGTTGAGCGCCCTCGTATCAGAGAAAGAGATCTGAAGATAAAGTGAGTGAGTTTGGTTTTACGCCGCTTTTAGCAATATTCCAGCAACATCATGGCGGGGGACAGCAGAAATGGGCTTCACACAATGTACCCATGTGAGGATTCGAACCCGGGTCTTCGGCGTGACGAGCCAACGCTTTAACCACTAGTCTACCCCACCACCCCCTGAAGATAAAGAACAACAACAATCGACAAAAGAAAGGCAAGTTTCCATCCGGAGTGTATCAGAGATACGGTGAGCTGATGGCGTTTGAAGACAATTATTGACCTACCTGAACAACCCTGGACGTGTTCACATGGAGTGGTTCACATGGTTGCCATGGTGAGAGGCAGTTGAAAGAAAGTCTTGTAAGTGAGGTCGTCATAAAATGCAGATTTCAGTGGTTGCAAAGGGTGAGTGAGTGAGTTAAGATTTAAAGTCACATCGGCAATATTTCAGCCATATCGTGATAAAACTAGTTCTAAATTCATAATACATACATATAATATATGAAACCCTGTCAAGGAAGGATAGTAAAATCACTAGATTATCACAAAATGAGTTAAAACTAGCTAACATATCACTTTAAAAAGAATAAAACTATTTTTGGTCAATACAATGTAAAAACGGACCATAGATCGCCAGCTGAAGATAGATCACCATACAAGAGACCAATCAATGGGTACAAGGAGGGTTTTGACGTAAGTCACATAAAATTATACTTAGGTCCCCTTGCTGTTGGGGCCCAAACTTGTACTTAGGTAATCTTCAAAACATTGTGAAGAGCAGGAACGAAGTCGCAATCATGGAACAAGACTGACTCAGAAATAACAGGAAATCCTTCACTTGTGGGACAGTTGCCATCACTGGATATATGTGATTTGACCAGCGAATGGTGTGAAAAGAACACCACATGTCATCAAACATGGCGCGAGTGGTAAGGTGAGGTGAAATTGGATTTAACGTCGTGCTTGAGAATATTTCGCTCATATGACGATGTGCATGCATGTGCATGTGTATGTGCGGCTGCTTGTAATAGCCAAGACTTAAGCCGGCTTTATAGTGCTAGCCCACTGTGATACCATACCACAGTGAATCATGAATACCCCACTCAGACACATTATACTGACTCCAAGCCGACCAGTCCTTGTTGTACTCATTAATGCCGAGTGCCAGGCAGGGATCAACAAGTACCATTTTTTAACGTCTTTTGGTATGACGCGGTCGGGCATCGAACCCGCGACCTTATGCTCTCCGGGCGGATGCTCTAACCACTACACCACGGAGGCGTTCCGCAAGAGGGAAAGCGATGGACCTTGCCGACCGTAGTAGCAGCTCGGGTTGAAAATCTCTTCACTCTCAACGACATCTGCCACATGGTCAACTTGGAGATTTGGATGATTGTAGTGTGACGGTTAAGTATCAAATATCCCCAGTCGGGTACACAGAAGCCAGGTTCTCCAGTGAACTGACTGAGGCCGTGAATCATGGTCTCCAATAGGCCGAGACCAAAAGCATGACATGCCTGCACATGTTGTAAACATCCGCGTCATTGAGAGGACCAGCGAAATCCCAACCGGGGGCACCTTTCCTTGGAACCACTGACCCTGAAAAATGCATGAGCAACATGTGTAACTACATGGAAGTAGGAATCCTGCAGGCTGACGCCAATTGAGAGCACACGAAAATGTGGAGAACAACTGACAGAGTTGGGGTTGAAAAGCACCATGTTCTTATTCATATGCGTCTCATCTTGAACTAACGACTGAACATGGATCCGTGAAGATCCGGGTTAGAATTGGCTTTCAGGAACCCAGGCCTGTGTTAAGAGTTACTAAAGGGATCGGGTGGTCAGGGTCTCTGACTAGGTTGGCACGTGTCATCACATCCCAGCTACCTAGATCAATGCTCATGCTGCTGATTACTCTATTGTATGGTCCAGACTCGATTATTTACAGATCGCCGCCATGTAGCTAAAACGTTGCTGAGTGTGGCGTTAATCAGCCGACCAGCAAACCAGCCTGACATGATCTGTGCATCCAGAACTTCCTTGACATCCTAGGCATCTATATTGGCAGGAAGATCGGGAATCTGCTGAGGTGGATGAGGAGGTTCCAACAGCTCGGTATAATAAAAAATAAATAAAAATAAATAAAAGTCACTACCGTCTACGTCTACCGCCAGTGGAAATGTGTGGTGATTCTTAGTGGTTTGTCGTGCATAAGAGGCTGGCGTTGCTAAAAGAAAGGGCATTGTCTACCATGCTTTGGATGCATACCCACATAGGTCTTTCTCTGAGAGACTGCTGATGAAAGAAGCATGATTATTTCAGAGAGGGGATCCCAAACAGTGAACATTTAGCTCTCAGATGAGGGACAGCACGACGACTGACTGTGCAAGGCCATCTTCCACAAAACAGGAGACATCTTGCCATAGCAAAGCATATGGCAGGTGGTCCACAAGCCATGTGGGGATGTCTGCTGGAGTCAATGTACTTTTGATTCATGATAACAGAAACAAAATCGCCTTCATCATCAGTGTGGTAAGGATCAGTACAATGCAATGCAGGTTTGTGTTGGTGGAGTGAAGAAACTCCCTGTAACTGTGGACAAGAAGAACCTGGCATCAAATGCCAAGTCATCCAAGGAAGGGTTACCCTGAAGATGAGCAGGTGAGTGGTCCAGCGTAGGAGGCATGTTCACAGACTGGCGCACATCAAGCAACAGAAGGTGACAATGCTTCAGTTCACTGGATGAGAGGGAGGTGTGTCATACAGATGAGACCCGTGAAGATCCGGTTAGAATTGGTCTTCAGCAACTTATTCTTGTAGTAAGAGGCGACTATCGGGATCATATGGTCAGGCCTGCTGGCTTGGTTGACACATATCATCGTATCCCAGTTGCTTAGATGAATGCTCATGTGGTTGATCACTTTTATGTTTGGTCCGGTCTCGATTATTTACAAACCATCCTGGCAAAAACCGGAGGTAATGGGGTCGAAGTCGGCGTGAGGCCAGCAACGAATAAGTTGTTTCTCATGCTTTTTCAGCACGTTTTTATAACATGTAAAATCCTGTTCTAAACCAGCTAAAACAGGGCGACACTGAAGATTAGAGATTAGAAGATTTCTCGGACATTTGTCTTTTGAACAAAAGACATCCCCTTAGAACACAATCTGTAACAAAGGAAATATATGCAAGGGGATACTGACATAAGGATCACTACTTACATGTTCCCTCCATATAAGGAACCGTTCACTCAAACACACACTCAGTGTCTACATGCTACCCAGGGTACCAAGACACATATTTTGCCTAAAACATGAGCCACTGGTCCAATCACGACTCATTGAGTTTCAGTTCTATAAACTATAGTGAAAAAGTGTAATGAGAACCACAACTTGTGCCTGCTAGACAAGATAAAAAAAAGAAATAGGGAACATATACAAAGTTGCTATGTTGTCACCAATATACCTTTTATCGAAAACAATACTGCAAAATATCACCATACAAAAGCAGCAAAAGATTGCCAGAGGAAAGGACATCAGGTAAAGTGAAACGTACTCGTGCATCATGTAAAGATCATCAAAACAAATAACTTTACAAATACACATACACATTTCACTTCACTGACATGCCAATATCAACTGCAATGTAATGATTCCTATAAGCATATATATTCCACCAGGCCTTGTTCATTTGAAGATAAAAAAGGACGACAAGGAACCATTTCTATTTCTATTTCCGATTTCAAACAATGCCTATATTAAGGTGTATTAAAATATTAATACACATTTATACATACATCTTGTTCGGAAATGGTCTTCACATGTACTTTATCCTCCGTAGATGGTGAAAGTCTGGCTGACTCAGTGCCATCAGACAGGTATTTCAGGAAGGTCTCTATGATTGCTGTACATTTCTTTTCGTCCATATGTAGTTCGGCGGGGAAACAGATGCATTTGGCTGAATTCTCACATTGTTCGATCTTCGTCAGGAAATCTTGTCTCTCCTTACACAAAGATGCGTCGACAGTGTCATGAATGATATTAAAATCAAACTTCGTGTCCACCTTCACATGTTGTACGATCAACGTCGCCAACTTGGTGTTGTATTGAATGTTCTTGTGGTTGTCTTCATCCCCAGTTGTGAAAGTCAGCACCATGACAGGGCGTGTCGTGCAGAACACACACGCATCACACAGGACAGACGCAGGTACTCGCCTCTCCCAGGATGGGTCTATCAACTTCAGCAGGCTACCTCCTGAGATGACGACTGTACGATTTCTGCCTGGTAGCTCTCTCAGCCTCTGTACAATGTGGGCATGCTGTTTCGTGAGAGCTTCTTCAACAATGGACGGGAAGATGCCGAAGTCTGCAACAGTCACCGCATAAAAATTCTAAAATGAGATAACCACTCATCTTAAGATTATATGTAAAGAAACAATACATTCATATCAACACTCATTTATGTCTTATACTTAATCACACATTTTCACACAGACAAAATATATGGATGGGTTGCAGCGGAAACATGTTCATCCTTAAATACAATGGGCATGGCTTAAATCTGTCAAAATAATTGGTGACTTCATGCTTAATACTGAGACACAATTTTTGCATGTTACAAAATAGATAAGGTAGTCAGACTTGGGTAAGTCTGACATAAACACACAGTCACACCAGAATCTAAATTCTATAGAGAGTAAATTATGACGAAAAAGGCCACCATTATTAACTGTAGAAAACACCATGCTTCACATCATCAACAAATTCTACAAATACATACGCGACTGTTCCGATTCAGCTGATAGTATCCCAACAATCTTCCTTTGTTCTGATGTAGAGACAGTGCCTGACTGGAGAGTATCTCCTGAAACAAGTAACGCAAATGATTTATATTCAGGGTGTATCCAGCTGGAGACATCATGTATCGAACGGCATAATTTCAATAAAGCCTTACCGGAAGTCTGTGCTCCTGTTACTGGATCATCCGAATCAGAGAAAACGTCATCAGTCAGTAATGGAACGTCTCCTTCTGAGCTGTACCTGCTAGGCACAGTGGAGTCATCGCTCTCGCCACTATCACTGGTTCTTTCACCAAGCTCTAACTCCCCTTCCATGATGAATGTCTATTAAACTATCTCTGCACGGCTTTGAATCGCTCTAACCAGGTGGCTTTGTCCATCCGATGAATATTTTTGTCCTTCACTTCATAAGTCCTTGGTCCGTCCTTGTCACTAAAGATGATACCATCAAAACAACGCACAGCTACCTCCAGAACACGTCTCTCTGTTCCAGAAATTGGATGTAACCTGACTTCAATCAAATCGTCAGGAACTCTACAGAAAGTTCCTTTTTGTACGGCTATTGTGTCACCTTGAAGTTTGGATTTAATGGCTGTGGTGATCTGAGATTCTTCAAATTTGATGCAAAACCCGTCAATATTAAGAAATTTGGTTCTGTAACTCTCAATGTCCAGGGTATCCTCACTTATCCCAACATAGTATGATCCTCCTCCCCCAACCTTGGACATAGAGGTCAGATTATCTTTCAATTTGAGATCATGCCATAAATAATCCACGAAATCTGACGGGCTTCTCGAAATCTTCGTTGCTACTGGACTCTTCAATTTGTCAACATGTAATCCTTTTAGTTCAGTATTCCGGCACTCATGGAGTAGTTGAATATTTTCATATAATCCTTTCGTCGTTGGGGGAACTGTGTTTTCCCGCCCGTTGAGCATGCATTTAGCCAAATTGACAGACGTTATTGATACATTTTCTATGTCATTCCTCACTTTTGTGTTAAAATCCAGAGTGGCTATCCCCCTCGTTTCCTTCACGTTCACAAAAACGAAGTCAGTATGGTTTTGAAAGTTCTGTATTTCAGATAGCCATTGGCGCCTGTATGTGTCTACATATAGTTCTCCGTCATCAATGAGATCAGACAGACTCTTTGTAATGAACTCATCAAACTGTTCCAGACACCTGTCCTCAGATAGCTGACCCTCAACATGAATCAGAACTTGGCCTCCTCCGCTGTTCCTCCAAGCTGAGACTATCTTCCCAAGTCTGTCACGAGTTCTCTTTTTCTTTTCTAACAGTTGCCCTGATTTTTTTCCAGCACAAATTATAGACCGGGTTGTGTGAAGAAGAATGATGTTACGGCAGTTCGAGTGAGACTTGTATGATTTTCCTACTGCCAGGCATTTTATGCAGGCCTCTGTAACGGTAAGTGTGGTGTTGAAATAGTTGGAACGGTCGGACTTATTTAAAACAGGAGATGCAAATACAACATGTTATGAAAAAAACGTGTGGTATGTTCCTTGTTCAGACATCATGACTTCAATGCCATTTTCCCAGCAGGCATTAAACAAATCACATTCACTGACTCACTTATTTTTATTTTTCACGAGAATATGTGGCACGTAGAGAATTACTGACGTTTACCTTTTCAGTTTTGAAAAGCTTAACATGTGTAACAAACTCGTAAAACTATTATCTTAATATTTTAATCCGCCGATTACGTCATACACTTATGTGTAACATAACGTGTTCCAAAGTTAATTTGGAATCCTCTTAAGCCGATTTTATCAGAAATGTTAAATATCCATAACCTATATTGTAATCGGAATGAATATAAATACCCGTGTAATCAACTGTTTCTGTGTCCAGTGATGTCATGTCATCAGCATCATAGCGCAGATAAACCTTGGTGTGTCTTCCTTACAACCCTCAGGCGATCACTCCAAATCCTCAACACAAATACGGTCTGAAATACATAAAAGAAAATATACCAATGCATGTATTGATGTATTTATAGAAAGGAATAAAGTGACAATATTCAAAGGGTGCGAGTGTGGGTGCGGGACTGAATGTGGGTATTGTGGGGCAGAGGGATCATGTCGTCTCTGCGCGCAGTCCTGCATATGAATGCAACGTCTCCAAAGACACCTTAGCTACTACAGTCAGTCTCACCACGAATCTTTTTAAGAAAGGCGCAGTCAATAGTGCAGCTTTCTGCATTAGGCAGGTTGACAGAAGGACTGTTGTACCATTTGTTAAGGCGGGCAAGCTTCTGATCTGCACAGAGAGGTGCCAAACATAAGTCACTTGGGATAATCGGAAGTCGCTTGACTGTAAAATGCTGACGCAAGCCCCCTCTCCCTGTGCATGCAGTAATCAAACACGTAATATACTGAGTCAAAAAAGAAACTTCACAAAATGTAATTTGAAAAATAATGAATAATTTTTCTTTGATGATACATCTATGTCTCCGAAATGGGATCCCTATCTTTCGACTCTAGAAAAACGTTAGCAAAACCCACTCAAACCCATCCATTCGTCGTGCAAAATGACGTTAGTGCCAAATCAGGTTTTGCACGTGCAGTCGATCACGTGATCTTCGCATCGAAGTTTTCTTCATATGCAAGTGTTTGCATTGGCCTCAAAAATTGAAACCCACTTTTAAACCACAGTTCTAACGGTGCTTGAAATGCCACGATTGTCAAATGTGCAACGTGAACATGCCGTTGGCATGTTGCAAGCGGGAAGATCAGTTATTGACGTCGCAAGAGCAATGGGATGCAGTCGTCATACTGTGTATGACTTGCGAGGTCGTCTACAACAAACTGGCACCACTTCTGATCGCCCAAGGTCGGGTCGTCAACGTGTGACGTCATGAGCAGAAGACCGTCAAATCGTCCTACGCCACCTACGTGACAGATTTCTGCCGGCTTCACGAACCAGGGCTGAGATGTTTAGAGGTCGACTCTATTTATTTATTCCGCCGTTTCATCAACGTCAACGTCTGCTGTGGGCCCAACCTCCGATGGACCCAGAGAGACTGGAATCGAGTCGTCTTAAGCGATGAATCGAGGTTTACCCTCAGATTCGCGGACGGCAGGCATAGAGTCTGGAGACGACGTCGTGAACGGTATGCCCAATGTTGTGTACAGGAAGTCGACGGATTCGGGGGTGGAAGTTTTATGATGTGGGGTGCTTTCTGTTTCTGTTCTGGTCATCCGTAGAAACCTCACAGCTGCTGCTTACCACGACCAGGTGCTCACCCCTGAACTCGTTTCTTTCATGGCGGCTCATGGCCCAGGTCTACAGTTCCAGCATGATAATGCTCGGCCGCATACCGCGATGTTGACACGAAATTTCCTTATAAAAGGCTGAAATCAACGTCATGGACTTGCCATCGAGGTCCCCTGACCTTAATCCAATAGAGCATGTTTGGGATGCACTTGGGAGAAGGCTTCGTGGTCTTAGGAACCAACCTCAGAATTTGCAGGAACTTGGCACTGCCTTGCAAGAGCAATGGCGCAGAATCCCAACCACGTGTTCACAACCATCAGGCAGTCGATGAGGAGACGGTGTTTGGCATTGGCGAATGCGCGGGGCGGCCACACACGATATTGAACTGAGAAATTTCGCATTTGTATTCTTGTGGCTTGACATTCTGTATACCCATGTTTTGAAACGGGGTTTTGTTGTCTAATGGAACTGATTATGGCACTGTCGGTGTATCGAGTACATCATACATATCTCAGCAATGAAATAATAACAATTTAACCATCTTACCATCTCTTGTTGTTTTATAGTGCCCTGAAGAAAGAATGTGAAGTATATTTTTTGACTCAGTCATATTTGGGATTACACTTTCTCAAAACGTACAAATCATAGTACCTTTCTGGTGTTGAGTCCCATTTAGGATTCGAACCCACATTCTAAGTCCCGAATGGGTCTCACTTCATATACAATGTATATTCAAACAGAACACATTTGACGGATGATGCTTACCAAACTTTACCGACCTACAAAAATATATGTCTCACCATGGTGGCTTGAAATCTTAGCTATGTCAGGAAGAGACCATTTTAACCTTCAATGGCCAGTAGATCTTGAGTCTAAATGTGAATTCAAATGAGCATCAGATACTGTCGTGAACGGATACCACTTTAAGCTGTCAGTAAAGATATGTTATACTGAATAGTAATACAGGTTAAAACAAATGCAGCAAAGAGAGGCTGGGTCGTCCTGGTACAGTTAGGGTGGTTAGGGTTCATCATGATCTCAGGTAGTCTTGCCCCCTCTACACGCATCCCATCAGCAAGTGAGAATTCTCCCAGGTTGTGCTGCCTAGTCTAACCCATCAAAAACCTTCCGGAGAATATGGAGACTCCCTAACACTGCACACTTTTGCATTATCAAGAGCGTCCAAAGAGCTACGCTCCCGGCGGAGAACCTGGGCACACTCTTAATCAGCGCCAACAAATGGAAGTCCCACACCATGGAACTTGGGATGCAAGTGAGATAGTTTAAATAGGCGTCAGCATGTTTGCCATTTCTTTTCCTGTATCATGATAATCACATTGTTCTCAGAAGGGACAGAATCGTTATTGATATGAATACTTTCAAAACGGACAAGTCCAGGATTGGTATAGGTGTTTGTATATGGGCCCACTCCAATGAATTTTGAAAGTGCCATTTTCAATGACGCCTTGTACATATTCTGGGTCGCACCTTTGATGGACCTCGGAGTCCAAACCACAAGCCTGTATTAAAAGGACCGAGCAGTGCCATCATGTTGATTAAGATATGGACTGTGCCAACGATGGACACCCACTGACAAGGTGTTGGACAGTCACATTTAATTGATTACATAATCTATATTTCATATTTATATTTGACGTAAAATCACAAATTGACGGTTACGAGTGGGAACTGACTGGTCCTGAGCAGCAAACAGAAAGCCTTCTTTTAACCTTTCAGGTCAGCCGACTTCATCAATACACTGCTTCTCAATACACTGCACGTACCCTCGGTGCAGCGGTCGTGCTGTGAGCATTTCCTTGAGTCTGTGCAGATTTGATGTCTCTTAGTTTGGCTGACACTCATGTCTTTACTGTTCAGAAGTACAGAACCATCAACAAAATCAATAATGCTGGGATTCTGTCTTCTTGTCTGACATGATTTTTTGTCATACGCTTAATTTCTTGTTTCATCCAATCAACCATACAAAAAGAACGAGTGGACGGACACAGTCTAAGTATTTGTGCGTAGCTCCGAACTCCAGATAGGCCGGTTTTAAGGACATTCTGCGCTGGCGCTTCACTGATCCCAGCAAGGACTGCACAATGGTGACCGTAACTACCAGGCAACACGCTATGTGTTTACTATAGGATAATCCGAGAACGGCTCGTTAGAATATTTTCTCAGCACTTTCATCGATGCTAAAGCGTCACCTGGCGAACATTTATCGTAACGGTTACTTTTAGAGAATCAGTTTCGAGACATGAAAGTCGTCGTGACATGACCCCTATATTTAGTACTGTAATCGACTGAAGCCATGCAGTCCCCATATTCAACATTGTACTTAAATAAAGATAGTCTGTCCCATTATACAACACTGCACGCGACTGAAGCACGGCAGACCCTACATTCAGTAATGTATTCCAAGTGAAGCTTCTAGACAACACTACATGCAATGTTTACTATTACTGTCGGTAGTAACGACAGGTTGCATACCGACGCGATTGTTGTGCAGTAAAGTAGGTCATAGGCAAGAGGGGTGATTTCTTAGGACTGTCTGTCGCTCACTTGTCCTTCCCAAGAATTGTGCGTTGGGCCCAACATTTAACATGGATAAAATATTCACGAACTGTTAATAGCATTTTGTTTTGATCGATGTTCCACAAAATATCTCTGTGAAAATAACATACACGGTTGTTTATCAAAAGCTATAGTTTCGGGAATTAATCTTTTGTTAAAATAATTACAAATTACAAATTAATATAAAATCAAGAATATTTCTGAATTATGGTCAAGACAGATCCTTAGGCTTCGTAACCATTCTGACGCAGTTACTAAGAGGGGTTTTGAAGAAATTGACTTTAACACCATTTTCCAAAGAACATTATTAAATGTGAAAAACGAAACCATAGAACGTCTATTTTCAACAGTCATATATATGTTATATCCATGCTAATCTCATCTTATTTCAGTTAATATTTGGAATGAGAGGACACGATTGGTGTAAACTCTCTACCTTGAAACTTCCTTTCAATAAAGGAAAGAGGATATCTCATAGGGAATAATCACAAGTAAATCAGTAAAGCATTGATACTTATAATGTAACTATATCTATAAACTTATTAAGATCTAGCTACGCCCCAGGTGTACACAAAAAATAAACAAAACTGAATAGCAAGCAAGGTTTACTTATGTCCTTGAAAACAGCATTTGTTTAAGTTTCAGATATGGTGATAACCAACATTTGTCTGCACAGAGAACGAACGTACATGTAGACAATAATGAATCATAACCAGGATTTTTCCTATGCTGAAATATGCGAAAACATAACATTTTGTCGTTTTGAGATGCTTATACACAACATTTATTGTACAGTGAACAAATCTACGCCACTCGCGGACATAGCACAGGAACAGGAACAAACTGTTCAAATATGATCAGTTGAAAGACTATTGTGCTGGTAAACGCCAAATGTTGGTAAAAATTGTATTAGCTTTGATGTTCTTAAACTGTATCCTCTGTTATCTTATAGTAAACTATACGCTGTGCTGAAGTTAAGGTGAATAGAGAGGCAGACATTCTGAAACCCTTGCATTTCATAAAAATGAACAAACTATAAAAAGGTAGAAATCTGTTTTATATGGTCATAAAATGGGCCAAATTGCTAAACTGGTTAGTATTCGAAGTTACATTTCCCCAATTAAGGATATATTAAATGAAGAGAAACACGTATTT